TTGGAATATATTATCTTCCTTCCTCTCCCCTTAACCTCCCTCATTTCCTCAAATCAAACTAGGAGTAAATTCTTGTGTATCAACTTAAAAGAACCTTAAAAGAATACCTTCTTTACTATAGAACGGAGGGACCAACCAATTTATTAGGAACCATAAGTTTCAAGTTCCAATTATATTTATCAAAGAAAGTTACATGCAATTTATTACATGCAATTTATTCTATGCAGATTATATGTCTTTTAATTATAAAAGATAGTCAAACTCTTTGAATGCGAGGTGATACCGCTCTATAAATGCTCATTGTCTTCTAATCCAACATACTCTATGTTTATGTTTATTGATAGGCAATTGAAAAAAAAATTTTAGGCATATTTCTTTTTTTTTTTTTCATATATAGATTTTTAGGCACATTTCTTTTTATTCTTTATACCCATAATAACAGGCCGTTTTCCGTTTAAGCCCACTAATAACTAAACTTTTAGACCTATCCCTTCCGAGTTCCGACCTAAAACCATCAAAACAAACCCAAATTTTTGTTAAAGCCAAGCCCATTTCTTTGTTATTAAAGCAACCCAAGCCTATATTCCTTTTTTTAATATTGAGCTGTCCAAAAGAAAAAGAGAAAATACATTTCCGAAATTTTAAACCCCAAACAAATAAAGACAGGAACTTTTTGTAGGCTTAACAGAAATGAAACTGTTATAACAAAGAAAATAAATAAATAAACCAACACAACAACAAAAGTTTAAGTCAATACCAACCCAAAACAACACTGCTGCAAGCATGCAACAAAAACAACCACATTAGAAAAATGCAAAACAGAGAGAGACAGGAACAGAGACATGCAACTCTTGAAGCAGCCACCCTACGAAAGGGAAAGGAATGCCAACAAGAGTTTCGTTGCTACACACACTAAATTTAAAACCTTAATTTAAAGGCAAGATAAAGAATTCAAATCCTAAAATAACAAACAGTAATCAGGATGTACCCCAAAAAAGTAAAAGAAACAAATAACTTCAAAAGCAAAAGGAACAACTTTGACTCTAGCCCAAGGAAGAAAACCATCCTCTTGTCGAAGTAGCTTGATTTGAAAACTCACTTTCTGTCGGAAGAACTCCAATGCTGCAGAAAAAGCTAAGAGAACAGTGAAGGGATTGCTGCACTGATGTGCTAATCCCCACTCCCCTAAGACCCTTTCCTGCATCAAGTGAGCTTGAAAGAATGACCAGGCAAGCAGACTGTTACCATAAGGATTAGCTGTTCCCTCCAAAAACCAATGCCTGGAAGATGGAAATTCTAAGAGAAGAACTATCGCCACTTTCCAGCCAAAGATAGCATTCTAAATAACTCACCAACATAGATAAAGGCAATGAACAAAACCACTAACAAAGAAACAGAAAAAAAAAAAAAAGTAAATTGTACCTGCAGACCCAGTAAGCTTCCCCGTGCGAGCCAGAAATCTTTGAGGATGCTCCGTGGTAAAATAATAATAATAATAATAATAAATATATATCCCTCAAATCAGTGTAGGAAACCTAGCGTCCGCTTGACCAGATAAGAAAGTAAACCCTCCATACAACTAAATGAAAGATATTTCCATAACACCACACTTCAGGTCACCTAAAGCTAGCATCAATTAGTATTTTACCATAACTAATATTTTTTCAGTTTCTGTAAATAGCAGACAATTGTGAGGGATCTACAACAACAAAAACATTACCAAAGCTCATAGCACTCAATAAACCAGTCAACATCAATATCAAAGCCATATATAATCCATGAGGATGAGGTCCCCAAGAAACTCAATATCTCCATTAGTAATAACAATAAAAATAAAATTCTCCATGTCGGACAAACTTGCAACATTATAATTAACTATAAACATTTCTAGAAAAAAAAAAGGTATAACTGACAATTAGGGACATCCGTTGTTTTGGAAAAGCTGCTAATGTAGAAAAACTTATATAAATAGCGGCATTTGGATAAATCTTCTCTAAATTCTTTTGATTGTCAGGATTTTGGAGATGAAGAATCTAGTCCTTGGCTGAAAACAATGACCTATGGTTGTTCAACTAATTTCGAGGGACAATGGCTGCTTTGCTAGGTGCCGCAGGTGAAAAAGAGAATGTACTTAGTTTCAATCCCTTATGTGACTTTTCATCAATGAAATTTCCACGTAAAACGGAGATTCCAAAAGGAAACGAATTTTAGTCCCTGATAAACTATCCCTTATCTATTGACTCTTTGGACTTTAGAGGTAAATAGAGAATTTCCCGAGTACATCATAAAGAAAAAATGCTAAAATTTTTTTTTAAGGTGCAAAATCTTTACATCCTTTTCCCCCTGTTATTGCAGGGGCTGTCAGGATTTCACATTTGGATCATCTGTATCCTTCTTACAAATGCTTCGAAGATCTGCTCACGATCCAACATGTTAATCCTGACCAACTTTGGGCTATCCCCAAAGTGCTTTCCACTCCTCACAAGGATCTTATTTTCCCTAAAGAAGCCTTCACAGTCATGGATTTCTCCTTCACACTTGACCCATGCAAAGGCTGCAAAGTAGAAAATTCTAGTAATTAATGTTGAATTCGTTGAGTTTATGGCATATTAACTGTCATGAATGTAACTTGATTGATAGTTTTAAATACTTTTATGATTTCTTACCAGGTTGAGGCTTGAATATTTTCTTGTAGAAACTGCAGAACTGGGGGGGAATGTCAGGCATGCTGAACAGTCCCGGCTGCTGCACTGCCTCTGTTAATTGCTTCCACCTCTTTGCCATGAGCTGGTAACTATAATCGAAGAAGGAGCCACTTTCTTCATGTGATTCACAGCTGTCAGAAGCAACTTTCAGCACTTGAGCTGCTCGTAGTTGTGAATCCTTGGACACTCCAATTGTGCTGAGCTCAATGAACTTCACCATTTTCCTCGCCACTTGTTCATCCTTGACCAGAGCCCAGCTGGGAGGATCCAATGTGGAACAGTTAGAAACATCACCTTAGTGGTACTTACGATTTTAAGTTCCAAAGTTAATAGATATCACAAAGCAATAATTTGCTTTGATTCCTAGCTCCTCTAATGCACGTTACACAACAGGTATTCCAAGTTCAGACTAGTTTCTATAAATATATTGGACATCAGTACAAACTTGAACAATTCACAGCTGCCATTGCATGCATTTTCTTTTTTTTAAACTCTCAACAGTTTATAATCCAATACCAAGATCCATATAAAGCAATATAAGTTATATAACATGTAATGGATGTAAATTTAAACTGCTCTAGGAAAATATTCTCAAAGATTATCTGAAATATTACTATCAACTTACCCAATGCGCGTGCCAGCGTGGCCTGTACATTTTGACACGGTGAAAAGCATCAGTTCGTAGTCAGCAGGAGAGGTAATCGGTGTATATTGTGGCCAGTAGTAAGCAAGATCATGCACTAACATCCCCTCACTCTGGTTAACAACAGAGTGCCTGACAAACCCATCTGGATTATTTGGAGAGGTAATAAGTTCTATATAAGGACCGGATTTATTGAAACAGCGAGCATCACCAGCCCATTTGTGTAGCCCGGACTTGAGACAGTCAGTAATCAATGGATAGGACTGCAAATAATTTACAAAATCGAAATCAAATTAACATACAAATGTAAGCAACCAACAAAAGGAATATAAGATGGCCAAAAACAAAAAACAAAAAAAAAAGGGGGGAATATATATTTCATTTGATTCCCGTATAAGTACTCAAGTAGTATATATGTGTAGACAGGACGGGGGCAAATCAATTATGGTAACTATTAGGTTTTGCAGCAATCTTTCCAGAACAAGTGAACCACTAAAACAAGGATGTATTTCTGAGCTACCATGTTGAGTCGTTTAATAAAACTAACGTAAAAGTAAGAGGGCCAGAACAGAGGAACTTGTTTCCAAAATAAGCTGGCAAGTAAACCCATTTATTAGCTTTTATGGATCAAAAATTTATAACAAGCAAATAGAAAGGTAAACAGACTCACAGAATAGTAAGGGGCAGCAGAAACCACAGAAATGGGATCAGTGGCATCCATGGGAGACAGAGCATATAAGGCAGCCTGGAAGAGCTGAGATGAGCCTGTCCCCACAACAATGTGCCGATTCTCCGTTACTGCATTTCCTACAACTTTATGCAGTCGGATAATTTGCTGGGCAAACTCCGGCTCCAAGAACCAGCAAAGATTTCCAATGTCAGAGAAGTAACTCATGGTCTGCCAACCAGAAATTACAATGGTAGTCCTGTCTCCCATTCTTCGCCAAAAAGTTTCATACATGGTTGGATCCCCACTGCATTCAGCAACAAAAACAAAATATGGGGTCATCATGTTAGCAAAGCATGCTCCTTTTTAATCCAAAATGCGAGCTTCAAAATTTACCCACTAGAATGATTAGAACAGCTCATGATCTACCAACAGAATTAGCCTTAACAATAAATATATGGCAGCACATTCAAGTAATACTGTAAGCTGAGAATTCATGCAAAAAGAAAATCATGTCAGACCAAAGTGTGCAGACTATCACTGCAGTGGGAATCAAATTTGCATGGCAGTAGGTATGGGAAGGCAGCAAAGGCCAGTTGGGGGCCCCTCTCATCACAGATCAATGATTACATGTGTAACGTGGCTCACATTATATTGACATATAATGAGTTAATCGGGTATTAGACAAGAAATGAAAGGAACTAAGAGATGACTTCAAATTTGGTGGTAAACATCTAATATGCAGGACCCACCTCAACTCAAGGTGCTTGGATTCAGTCATCCAGACAACACCACTTTGACTGTAGTCCTAAAAAAGGATCTTAAAAGCTAATTGACAGCAAGATGGCAAAAAAATTCATCGAATCTCATCAAGCAAACTTAAAAGCACAACTTTAGTCTTTTAAATCTTCGCAAATGCCAAAAAGGGGGCCTCATACATTGTGCCCAAACCCCAGTTGCCCCCCCCCCCCCCCCCCCCCCCCCCCACAAACTCAAATTAGTATTGATCTGAATTCAAGCTTATAGTGCCTAGTGCTAACGTGCACCTTGGAGGAATCCAATTTGCCAAGGCACAATAATGATGATATTTGAGTGAAAATGCCTTTATGAACCACTCAATTTGCCTGTTGGACTCAGACCCTATAGTTTACTCTTCAAGTTGGGAACAAAGAGATGACAAAAAAAACAGCATCAAGTACCCAGAAAAGGCACCCAAACACACATCAAGAGTCAAGATAAAACGTGAAAATTTATAAAACCCAAACTTAAGGATCGTTGTCTTTGTCTAACAGGTAAAATCATCAAACCAGCCAGCGACAAGCATGAAACTGTAAAAAGTGAAGAGCCAAAAGAGGGAAAGCAAAATTAAAGGAAATATTAGAAAAAATAAAAATAAAAAGATTTTCTTTTCTTCCTCCTGTGACTCTGCTGGATGCAGCAAAATCATCAGTTTGCACTAGCCTGCATCTCTTTCCTCGAAATGACTTGTATGCCCCTGTATGGCAATTAAACTAAGCCAAGTTTTGACAAGATTGTCATGACTTCACCAGGGCGACCAGTAAAATTCATCACGGGGGTCTTCTTTTTTTTCTTTTTTTTTTTTCTCTCTCTCTTTTTTTTTTTTAAAAAAAAGGGAGGCAAACAAGAAAGAACAGAGATTGTTTTGGTAAAACTCACTGGTCTAGATTGATGACTCTTTCCTCGCTCTTTTCAGCCGTAGAAGCAAAGAAAGATGAAGCGGAAAAGTCAGTGATGGAGAGCCGTGTCCCCTGGCTGAGATGAGCCTCTTGTTCTGCTCCGTTTTTAGGCATATCAGGAAAGAAGCCAGCGAGTGCCCCATTTCCGCCCTCATGCAAGAGCCGTAAAAGCAATGTGGCGTTCAGCGCCACAGAAAGAACCAGCAGATTTCTGACCGCAAAAATACTAGAAAAACTAGCCATGTCAAAGAAACTCGGAGCAAAAACAAAGAAGTTGATTATAGTGCGATGAACTGCTTCTGTGAGGAGCTGAAAAAAAAAAGGAAATGGGTAATTTACAGGAGCCGGTGAGGGTTTTGAAGATTCTGGCCGACTGTTCTGAAGTTTTGCCCGAACCCTGCCTGAAACCCCTGAAAATTTTGTCAGCTTCAGGGTTTTCAAGAGTGTTTTCTTCGCATGAAACAAGAGAGACGGGGCTCTGTGGGTTGAAAATTTTCACGAACCGGAATCTGGTAATAGAAACGGGTCAAGTTGATATTTAAAGCCATTTAAGGGGTTAAATCGTTTTAAACCGTTCAAAATGTCTGAACCGGTAAGAACCGATGGATCATCCAACCGACCGGGCCAACCATTTGGGACAGAGTTTGGGAGGTTTGTTGCTGCCATTGGGTGTCGAACAGGAGACCTAAGGTTTTGAACACTCTTTTGCCACCGGAGCACCCGAATCTTCCATGAAATAAGTTACAAAGACTATTATTTAAAGAATATTAAAAAGATTAAAGCAACATTCTGAAGTTACTTGGGTGGTTTAACTTCCAATTCGATTTTAAAAACAATACTAGGACGGAGCCAATAATTTTATTTTAGGGAGGGCTAAGTGAATTTTTTAAAAAAAACATCTTTGGTTAATCAAAAAGTTAAAAATTTTAATAAAAAATATTTTTTGAATTAAGATTTGTTAAATTTTATTTATAAATTAATATTAATTGATAGTATGATATTAATTGAAAAATAAAATGAACATATATTAAATAAAAAAAAGTATTCTTTTAGTTTATTTTTAATTAATTTAATTTAATTTTTTAATTTTTAAAATATAAAATTTAAATAAAATTTTAATAATTTACCTAAATGTTTTAAAATTCTTTTCAGCCTCTATTTATAGTTTTTATTAAGTATTTTATTTGCCCGAACGACCCTTTCTGTTATTCCCTTCGCTTTGCTTTATTTTCATTTTTGGCTTCGTTTTCCCTCAGCAATCAAGAGAGGGACATGCTAATTATACAAATGAATTGATTTATGATGTTTCTAAGCTCAAAAGAGAAGCATGGTGTGTTTTTTTTTTTTTTTTTCTCTTTTTTGGCCAAAAGAGAAGCATGGTGTCAGATTGTTAATAGTAACTAGTTCCCCTTGTTATCAGATTAGGATGTTAAATAATCCTTGAAAGAAACTTAATAATTGTGCAATTGATCGACGTTGGGGAAGAATTTTAAAATGTTAAAGAACTATGAAAAATTACAAAGAAGATGATTCAATAATTTCCTATTATAACTTTAATTAAATTTATTTATTTTTATGATTGAAGTATTATAATTAATGGTTAACTTATAAATTATTGGTTTAAACCTCATTTAGTTTAGTTGTCAATTTTGGTTTTTTAACAATGGGTTTCATAAATTTTGCAACTATTGAAAACCAAAAGAGTGTTGACAGCTAATGAAGAGGAGCAGAAGCCCTAGCTGCTCCCCCCTTTTCTCCCATCATCTATTCTGCTTCCCTTCTTGCCATAATTTTGTTTTTCCTTTTCTTTGTTCTCTTTTTTTTTTTTTTTTTTTTTTTTTTTTGTTTTATTTTCTTAGGATTTCCCTATAAGGGTCTTTGTCTCTCTTGAAGGTTGGCTTCTATGGGCTTTTGTCCCTCCGAGCATGATCTGTGAGGGGTTTTTTCAGTGTTTTATGTCCTTAATGATGGTAAAGGTTGAGAGTTCGAGAGGTAGTTGATGAATGTGTTGCGTTGTCATGAAATACTTTTAGTAATAGACTATTTCAACAATTACCTTTTCATCTTTTGGGGTAGGTGGGTTATGCTAACTTGCAGGTTTATTATTAGATCTAGAACTAAATTCAACTATAATATTATCTATATAGCTGTTAGATCACTCTTTCATCTTATACTTAACCTAGTGGTGTCTTATATTTCTAGGATCAAGTTTTGTAATGCCTCTAGTGCTGTATAAGTTAGCTCATAAACCCTCACTTTAATTTATTATTGATTAATAAAGTTATCATCTTTACATATAAAAAAAAATGTATATTGTTTTTGAGTTATAAATGTAAATGGAGATTTGATTCAAATAAGACTTAAAAAAGAAAAATTATTTTACAATTCAAATTAAATCAAATGTAAAACATTAGTTACTGAATCAATAGAGGAATTAACACCCATTACCGAAAACCCCTCGTCATTTAGAAATTAACACTCCAAGTATGATATGGTTCAAATTGCTAAACATTCTTTTTGAAAGAAGAATATGCTTGCGAGAAAGCAATAGTTTATTTATATTTTTTAGTATTTATATCTCATCTGAAAGCTTGTGGTTCTTTATCACATGGGATAAATTTATATTCTTTTCCTTCTTTATTTTGTTTTGCGTTTCTCAATAATATAATTTCAAGCTTTAATCCCACTTTCGCTTTACCCTTCGATTTTTCTCATCTTTTTTCTTTTTATTTTGTTATCATTTCTTTTAGTAAAGCTTTAGTATTTATTTAGTATCCGAACGTGATTTTTTAGTGCTGGAACAAGATGCTTAAACACATTAAATTAATCAACGAGAGATTGGATCAAGTGGTAAGTGACTTGTTTCAACTTAAATAAGGTCTCGAGTTTGAAACCTTGTGTATACAGTAGTCCCTACTGGGAGAGTCACCCACTATTTTCAAGTGCGTGATGCATGTTGGGTCCGGATTAGTCGGACGAAACTCCGGATACCGGACGAGAAACTAAAAAAAAAAAAAAAAACACATTAAATTAAATATTTAACCAATGCGAGGCGCCTTTTTTTGGCATTTATAGAGTTAAGGTGTCCATGAGATAATTTTTGCATACCTTCAAACTTTTTTTTTATTATTTTAAAGATACATATCTCATGTTGATTTGGTACATTAAAACATTAATTTTTTTAAATACTAATCCTAAAATTTTAATTATAAATATAATTTATAATATAATACTTTACTAATAAAATCAACTTTTAGCACTTGACCCTTCGGGCCAAGCGGTCTAGGGTTGCTTTGCAGTGCATTTCCTCCTCCTCATAGTGGGTTCGATTCCCACTCTTGTAAACTTGATAAAAAAAATAATAAAATAAAATCAACTTTTAGATTAAATTATTAGAAGATGCTGCTACGAAGGAATATGATTTTGAAAAAGAAAAGGGCTACGGACCTAAACAATAAAAAAAAGGAAGGGCTTATTTTTTATGCGCAACGGAGGCACGGACCTTTTGCTTCTCTCGTTTTCTACCGTTGTTTTGCAATTTTGTGCTTTTTATCATGTGTAAAGAGGATAAATCATAAAATAATCGATCCTATTACAAAAAAACAAAAAAAAAAAAAGAATTAAATTTTGTAATGATTGATTTGATTGTAGAAGGTAAGAATATCAAGCTATTATGAAAATTAATTGATATCAAGAAAAAATTAATTTACTAATTAATTTATTTTAAGAATTTGATTTAATTAAAATCTCATTAATAGAAGATTTTTAATTAATTATTAATCTTTTATATTATGTAAATAGAGTTGCTCATATATAAAAAAATAATGAAAAGAAATAAATATGCAACACCCACGAAGGTTTTTGTATTGTAAACTAGAGGGTCTTAATATATTATGAAATCTTGATTTTATCTTAAACCACATAATATTGCATTTTCCTTTCTTTCCTACTTATCTTTTATTTAGTGCATCTTATTGCTATTTAGCATGAGATTTTAACTATTAAAAATTTCCTCGTTATATTAAAAACTTCTTCATAGTATCATAACAAGTCTATCTTGGAATCGCACTTAACTTTCCACATGGAAGTTGAGTGAGGATTATTTTTGTTCCTTTTTTTTCACCACACCTTCTGTCTTCCAATCTTTTCTAAAAAAAAATAAAAAGAAAAAAAAAGAAATGAGAGAGAGAAAAAAACAGAGAGAGAGAGACAAAAAAGACCAAAAAAAAAAAAATTCTTCGTTTTATCTATTTTTAAAAGCCTACAAATAGAGAAGAGACCATTTCACCATATTCTTAAAAAGAAAAAGAAAAAGAAAAAGAAAACAAAGAAGTTCTACTTTCTTACAAGTACAAAAGCGACCAAAGGAGACCATTTGGCCATCTTCTAGAGTTCCCTCTATAAGCTAAAAAGTTATTGCAAATTGAGAGAATGAGCAACACCAACCTCAAAGGTGATTTATAAGCAAGTTGGACACTTGATTAACATGTCCATGCCCCAACTTGAGGGGTAATAAAGAGGATAATCATAGAATAATTGCTCCTATTATAAAATGAAGAAAGAAGAGGATCAAATCGTGTAATGATTAATCTAATTGTAGAAGAAAAGAATATCAAGCCATTATAAAGATTAGTTAATCAAGGGCAAATCAATTTACAACTGATTGATTTTAAGTATTTAACATTGATTGTAATCTCATAAATTGAAAATTTCTAATTAATTGTTGTTTTCTTATATTATATATATCCATTCATCCTATAAATAAAATTACTCATATATAAAAAAAAATGAAAAGAAATAAAAGCACAAAACCCATAGAGGCTTTTGTATTGTGAAGGGGCCTTGATGCATTAGACATCTTAATACTATCTCAAATCACATAATATTGTGTTTTCCTTTCTCTCACTTATCTTTTATTTTGTGCATCTTATTGCTATTTTATCATGAGATTAAAAATTTCCTCATTATATTGGAAACTTCTTCAATGGGGTTGAATTTTCTTCTTTTCCTTTTATTTTGTGTGCTTTTCAATAAGAACATTTTCAATTTCAAGCTTTTATCCCACTTCACGTTGCCTTTTAATTTTCCTATTTTTCATTTTTTAACAAAGTTGTGTAATAAAAGACAATTATATCTTATTTTTTAATCTATCAAACATGTACGTTACATAATTTGAACATAAAATTTTTTATTTTTAATAAAAGGTGATTATTGCTAACAATATGTTTGGTTTGAGAGGAGAGAAGAGGAAAGGGAGGGGATGGGAATAACAAGATGTGACATCCTTCAATTTCCCACTATCTTCCTCCCCTCCCCTTTTTATTTGGATAAATTTCTCTTCCCTTTTAAATTATTTATCATCTAAATAAAGGAATTTTCATTTTTCTCATATGTTTCCCTCAAAGCAAATATACCTAGACCTGGCAAAATTGGACCAAATTCGAAAATTTAACTCAACCCATCCATTATAGGTCGGGTGATGGGTCTTATGTGTCAATCCAAAATCCGAAATAATCCAGACTGAAATTATTCAAATCCAAATGAGTTAGGTCACGGATGGGTCAGATCACCCGAAATGACCAAAACTTTTTTATATTTATTTTTTATTAGATTATTTAAAAAAATAATTTTAAATTTCTAATTTCCTAATTTTAAGAGAAGAAATAAATAAAATACCAAAACTCTAACCTCCTTTTAGTTTCTCTTTCTCTCAACTTTTCCTCTTCTCCA